AACTTCATTCAAAGTAAAAACAAGTTGATTACCCAAACAAGACTTCATAAGTAAATTTAAGGATGTTTAGATATTTGTATCAATTATTCAGTTACTTTTATTATACTTTTTTGCAGCGCATGAAGCATTTAACACCCTGCCTTTATGAATGTAAGACTTTCTGCTCCTAATTAAAACCTTTTAAGGCTTTAATTTGTGAAAGGTAAAATTAAGAGTTTTTAAGACCTGCAGAAACCCTGAATATGCGCGCACTTATTAAATGTAACTTGAACCGCATATATAATCAAGAATATTCATGCATAAACATAACAAAAACTGCATGCTTAAACATTAGAGGAATTAATAAATATAATTAAAATCAAGTTTGCTCGTCTATTTGGACGACTGCAGACATGCTTTCTTTTCAGTTTGAACAGTTCAATCAATAAGATGGACTTTTGAGTAGACAAATAATTCATCACATCATTTAATGGGTGCAAAGAAAGAAAAAAAAGAACCAACAAGAAAAGAAACTCAATCATCAGAAAGTGCAGGAGTTCTTCAGCTCTGCTAGAACCGCTTCTCTAGATTACATCTGCATTTTCTCAGACAGTGCTTCTGCTTCCTGTGAAGAAACACACAGAAAGCCATCGAATCAGTTCAAATCTGCAGTGAGAAGCTGTTCAGTACAGCAGAAGAAGGACTAGAGCATGTGTGTGCAACATCAGACGGGACTTTAGCACTACATTCTTAAGAGTAGAAACACACGGGACACAGGAGCCTTTATGTCCCTCAGACACCTACCTTTGAGCCTGGAGGCGCCGTCAAGCCCAGAAACGCATACACAGCATTGTCCTCACGGGCACAGAAGAACGCCTCATAGTTCTGGAGCACAGAAGCAAAAGAAAGCACTGCTCAAATCTTACGGTCTGGCTTTGAGTCGGTTTGAATCAGTCAAAACACCAGACGCCAGTTAAAATGATATTGGTAAAAAATACCTGTACAGAAGTTACACTTTTAAGACCTAATGATACAAAATCAATGTGTTATTTCAGAAAACAATGTACCAGTCTAGTAATATCGATTAATTTTACGCTACCTTTATGTCCTTTTTGGAGCTTGAAAGTTAATATGGACAAAAATATATATGTTTGGCTTTAATTATTACTTAATATTCAATTATGTTTGCTTCATGTAGTGTGTGAGCTACTACCCAGCACATAATATCTATCATGTGTACAAACCCCACAGTATCTGTCCTCCTTGAAGATCTGAGGAGGTAAAGGGTTCCCTGTCTCCGGTCGGAAATCCTCGGGGACGTGTTCTCGCATCCACTTCCTGTTGTCTTCATCAGCTGCGATGTCACATTCCTCAAACTCAATCTTATTGGCTGCCAAGAAGCCCATGACATCCTGCTGCTGTTTCTTGATCTGAGGGAAACAGAAGATTAAATCGCACATTAAAATCAATGGACACTAATTCTGATGCCCTCAAACAGAGGACATTTCATGTGTGAAAGTATTATTATTTACAGTGGACTTCACATGTATCAGGTTTTGTGAGTATCAGTTTTTGTTGAGTTACAGCCTTTTCGGAAAAATAAGGATATAACCATACTGTTCTGGGAAAGGCTTTAAGTGAAGTGTTACCAACATTTTTTTATTATGAATCTCAAATACAGACACTGCTGGCAAGGGTTCAAATATGCAGAAGATGCTGAAAAAGAGTCGTTGAGAAGCGTTTCAACCCACTCAGAGGCAGTTCAGATTTGTGGCATAAGGGACACAATGTCTCTGTTCCCTCCACCAGGGAACGAGGGTTACCGTACGCAACCGAGACGTTCCCTTTCTGTCGTTCACTTCGTTGTTGTGTATAACACTGGGGGTCCCTATACTAAACGCCACAGCTGCTGAACTGCGTTATGAGACCACAAGGGCACAGATGTTGACAAGCCAACATGTCATGACCAAATGCACCTCTCCTCCTCGTAACTTTCCAACGCCAAAGAGTTAAGACCTCATTCTCCAACATTCGCTGGTGGAGAGG